AATTAGCACAGAAACAGTACTATATAACATTTTAGACACATTCTAGACAGTTTATCAGCTAAAAAAAGTTAATTTTGGGGTAAGTTACTCTTTAAGTTGCTTGGTTAATGGTTTTGGTATAAAATGGGAGATGTGGTTTCCTTTGAGAATTGCTTACTTTTGAATCTTATTACAAAAGAAGTGATTTTAAGCAGACTTGTTTAACATGTTTGTATCAAACGTGTCATGTTTTAAGTACTTTGTTGTTATTGATGCAGTCTTAATGGTCAAAGTCTCTACTGTTTGTTTTATGTTAAAAACATAGAAACAGTCCAGTGATTGCTCATTTCTTCAGCTCTGACCTCATGAAATACTTTACTAAGTTTGTGTTTCCATTAATGAGCGAGGTTAGCTGCCTCTCTGGTCTGTTTTTGATGGTCCCAGAACAAAAGAAAAGTCTGTAAACAGGAAACCAGCTGAACCATTGTTCCTACACAGCTGAACAATGAGAGCAACAGACGTTAAAAATATTTTCCCATCCATCCTCCTCTTGCTCAGGAAAGCTTTGACTCAGTCAGATGGAGAAAACAGAAGGATTTTCTTTGTTTTCACAAAACACAGTCAGGTTCCATGACTTTGATCCTGCTGATGGAAAAGAGAAAAGTACAGTCTGATCCTACTTAGAGGTCAAAGGTTAAAATCACAGCTTTGTAAGAAAGTGTAAAAAGTTGCATTAAAGGTAATTTCCTTTCTATCAAATATAAAGACATTACAGATGTTTGTTGGCTTCATCTGCTGGAATCCTTCAAAGGAATCACATCACCCACCTTCCAAACCAGACTGTAGACTAAAATCTTCTAATGCTGACAAACGATGACGAGTTCTGGTCAAAAACATGTGGAGTTTTATACAATGCTGCAAGATGTCACACTCAGAGTATGTCTCCTGAATGACTCTCAGCTACTACCACATCAAATTTTAGCTCAACATCTGTGAGATTATAATGAGCCCTGCACACCAAGCTGGGATAAGTAAGCAGGAGCCATATTGTTTTCATACTGTTTGTTTTTTTTTCAGTGATGTTTGGTCAACCGTAGCACAAAAACAGCTGCACCGATCAACATGAAATGAGTCAGGACAGTAGATGACTCTGACCTACACTGCACCAGCCAACGGTTTTATGATAGACCCCATATTTGAGGAGGGGGCTCCTTTCAAAGAGGGGGTGTCAGGACATGAAAAATCACTTAAAACTCAGAAACTGTTCAACATAGGAGCTTCAGATTTCTGTTGTTGTTTAGCTCTGATGAAGCTCTATCCATCAGGCCCACCAATCAGTGCCCCCCCACCCCCCTCCAGGACCCCCAATTTATCTGAAAAAGGGGGTCTGGACATACAAAAATGGTTATAGCTCAAAAACTATTAAACATAGGAGCTTCAGATTTCTTTGGCTGTTTAGCTCTGATGATGGGCTATCCATCAGGTCAACCAATGCCACAAAAAAAGACCCCCCACCCAAACCACTACAATTTTGGGATGCACCTAGTAGCATGACATTTATTAGGAATAAAGACTTCTGAGGTGCATTTGTGCATGCAGGGGTCATTATGTTACCGCTGTGCGGTGTCTAGTTTGAGTAATAGCCATTTGTTTTGGTAAATTTTGGTTAGTTGAGGCATTAGGTTGACTCCATAAGAGATGTACATCCAGTCATTACTTCCTAAAAACGTTTAATCAAAATTAGTCCAGTTGTTCATGAGACATTTTGCTAACAGACTTGTGTACACACACAGAAACAAGCAAAAACAATATTCATCTGTGAGCAGAGGAGATGAAAACCAGAACCAGTCAAAGCAGGAGTAGAAGAACACAGATTCTCCACTTCACACTATTTAAATTACCAAGTTACTATAACCTAAAACGCTTTATTAAGTGCATTTCAACACTAAACATTTAGTGAGTGCTTCAGGACAATGACTTAAAACCGTGAGCTATGAGCAAAGAGAGACTTTACTTGTTAAAAGCTCTTTTATTAGTTTATGGTGAGCAGATTTTATTTTAAAAGATTCAGAGAAAAAGTAAAAGAAAACCTCATTTCATTCTTACTGTAAAATCTTCTAAACAATTGAAGAAGTTAGAAAACAAATCATACTGGTAGTCAAATTAAATTAGTTTTTTTCTCTTCTTTAATTTCGATATTTTCCAATCTTACATTTCTGAGTTTTTCTGTTTTGTGTTTTATATACTTTACTCTCATCACTCTTTAAAACATGTAAAAATAAAAAAAGGACATTTTGTATTGCATTTTTTTATGAAAATACTTTTTATTTGCTGCTCCACAGTTTAATTTTGGAGACGTAGCTGTGCACCAGGCCATCCACACCATAGAGTACTGTTTGGGCTGCATATCCAACACGGCGTCGTACCTGCGCCTCTGGGCCCTCAGCCTGGCTCACGCTCGTAAGGAACAGTTTGTAGATTCAGACCTGAGCTTTGCTCTTAATGAGGCTGACTGACGCTAACGTCTGTGCAAACTGTGTGTTTCATGGTGCAGAGCTGTCCGAGGTGCTGTGGTCCATGGTGATGCACCTGGGCCTGTCTTCCAGGAGCGGAGGCGGGTTCTTTGGCCTGTCAATCATCTTCTCAGCATTCGCCACTCTCACTGTAGCCATCCTGCTGGTCATGGAGGGACTCTCAGCTTTCCTGCATGCTCTACGTCTGCACTGGTTAGAAACACACAAATACAAACACACACACACACACACACACACACACACACACACACACACACACACATTTGTTCTTCTATCCTCATGGAGCATTTGTGTTGACTTTCATTCATTTCCAGTTGTTTCTATAGCCTAACCCTAACCCCTCCATTAGAGTCCTATCCATAAACCTAGCCTAAAATCAATTCACACCTTAGTCCTAAACTTAACCTCCAACCATGGAACCAGAACCACAGAACCACGTGACACCAGCCCTGGAGTTGGCGTGGGGTTGCACATATTTCCACGTTCAGTTGAGTTTTGATACATCCAGAGTTTTGCGTGGAGAATGACACACAAGGTTTTTGTGCGTACGCACCGTTGACACATGAGGCCCCTGGTCCGGGTGCTCCTTCTTCTGGAAAAGAGACAAAAAGAAAAAAACATGTTATTGATAGAAATATAAAAATATATAAAAATATATCCTACAGACTTGTAAACGTAAATGATCAGCACACAGAAATCATTGTATCAATGGATTGGTTGTTTTATTAAAATAAATATTGTAATAAATGAAACAAAGACAGAGACTTCAACTAACTGAGCTGAGTTAGTTATAATCCACTGCAGTACAAAATGATCAACAACAGGTCTAAAATTACAAGTCATTTAATAAATAACTATTATCTATAAAGCAGAGCACACTTCTTGTTAGAGGGCTGTAAATACACACTAAATTCACTTCAGTTTATATATATCACCAAGCCACAACAAACGTCTCAGACCTCTGTACACAAAACAAAGAAACCAGTAGATTACAAAGATTATTCACCTCAGCACAGTCTCCCATCCTGAGCAGCACACTGGTGACAGTGGAGAGGAAAAACCAGCAGAACCAGTCTCAGGATAGGTGGCCATGTGCCTCAGCCAGCTGGGTTTGTGAGGACAGGAAAGAGACAGACAAATACAGAAGGGCTGGTGTCTTCCTCTGGACGAGACGCCAACAATACATGTTGTTAATAACAATAATTACAACAAACCAACATGTAAAAAAGAAAGTAATCCTCAGTTTAGTTGGCAAACATCTAACAAAGGCCTTCCACTGATATTTGCACAATGACTGTTGAACAAACCAGAGCTGACACTTGAGTCAGTCCCACAGTGCAGTCCTCTAACAGGTTGTTGTGAGGCACAGAATCTGGTACAGGTAAGGTCCTTGTTTAGGATGTGGGGAGAGCTACATAAACAAACATGAGTTGTTGTTCAGTATAATATGATCATAGATCCAGCTTTAGTGTTTGCTTCATGATAGTTAAAGTGAACATGTCTGCTTACTGCTTTGAAAGTTTTCAAAGGTCTGACCTGATCACATTTAGTCAGAGCACCACACTCCACCAGCCAGTTTCTGTAAGAGATCCAACATTACAGAACCACCCTACCAAACCTTTAAATGTCTGCTAAAAGGAAGAAAAGGAGTGGTTCTGCAGTCTGACACATCTGGATCACATTCAGAAAGATTTAGTAAACATGAAGTCAAGCTCCGTCCTGCTGATAGACTCCTACACAAGACAGGTCAACCAAAAACATTTCCATAAATTGTTGTTCAAGTTTAACTTGTGCAACTAGAGTCTTACACCTTCTTGTGTTTATATTTGCCCTCTAACAGACGTGTTTGTTTTTCAGTGGAGTTGGACAGAATATGTCAACATGAAAGCTAGAAAAAACTATTTTACATCACATCACCTTAAATTTACCAGGGTTGTGTGAACCTTTTATGTCCACTCTATCTTTTCACATAAAGCTTTGTGCATAAAATAAACATGTAACAGGTGTGTAAGCATGAGCCCACATGTGTGTGTCTTCACTGTCAGCATCAAGAAGGTTAATGTTTTAGTTCTTCCATAGTGCACACACATAAGGAATGTTAAAAACATGACACTCCCCACTCAGCCAGGCTCCATCACCTCGTGGTACAGCTGTGGAATGTCAGATAGAAGAAAACATTACCACATATTGAACTGCAGCTAATAAGAGGTACAGCTGTTCAGTAATGACAGTGATATTAATGCATAAACACGTATACATCCAGAAAGACAAAAGAACATCAACACAACAACAAATGTTTGTTTTTTCTCTCAGTAGAAACCATTGGCTGTTCATTCATCAAGATTATGTCATTCTAGACAACTAAACTCTGTTTGTTTGTTACTAGTTTATAAATATGTTGCACTTATGGGCTCAACAAACGAGAGTGATGGCTGTCATTGCAACCTGGGTGAAACCCAACACGTGGGACGCGATAGTGATGGCAGCATTGTCCTCACTTCAACACATTTGATTGGTTCTTCTACTACTTCTTGTCAAGTATGATGGTGGTTGGCAAAACATGAGTGACGTGCATTACCGCCGTATAAACTAAACAAATCTTGTGATGCTAATGATACTGAAAAACAAACGCACACTAAGATATGAGGAAAAACTTACCAGACCACTTCACCATGCAGCAATGTGTAGCGTCTTTTTATGTGTATCTTAGTGACCTCTTTGTGAAGTGTCATAAAATTATAAAGTTTGACAGAGCTAATAATAGTGAAAGTGTTAGCTAACTGCAGTCAGTGGTGGGCAGCGCTAATCAAAAAATTAGCTCTGCAATTTCTAAAGCACTTACAAAAATATTTAGGTCGGCAACTTCAAAAATGTTTATGCCATAGAAAAACTAGCAGAAGCTAATTTTAAAGTGCAAGTTTCATTTTGACACTTACTAGCTGGCAATAATTCATGTACAATATATGTACAACACTGTAAACTAGCGGTGAATGAATCCTTGTACATCTTAATCCTACAACAGCTGATTGCTGGGGATGTGATTTCCTGAGACCTTTAGCTCCTGGTGTAAAAATTAAAAAGTTGTTGAGGATTACTAGTTCGGCTGCTTCTGTGTCTTTTTCTTTTGTTTGTTGTAGATTTGTCATTAAAGAAGCATCAATAAAGTAATTTAAAACTGTTTATTGGAAAACTGAAGCAATGCATTCTGGGTACATGACGGATTTGATTTGTGACGGGAAACGAAAGTATGGAGCACAGGAAACTATCTTCCCTTCAAAATAAGAGCTTGGATTTTAAACGTTTCCATGTAGTTGCTCCAGTTGACCACTAGATGTCAGTCTTCACCAGCATAACATCTTTAAACCATTTCTGAGTCTCTATCCCCGTTGGCCGATTGCTTTGACCAATTACGTCAAGTATTGAGCTCCAGTGTTTAAACTTTATTTTTTTAAAAAGGAGCTCTGATTGTAAAGTAAAATAAATCAATACATACAAAATTTTAGTATGGATTACAAATGTTAACTGTTTTAGCTGGGACAGGGAGTACTAAACATTGCCTTCCTGCTACGTAAGCAGACACAAAGCATTGTGGGAAATCAGAACCGTGACCCAAAGCAACAGTCAGCAGGATGTATACCTTCACAATAAGAGTGTTTATCTGGGAGGGGTGCTGTTGGATAGATCACATGTTGTGATTCATTGACAGTCATACCTTCTGCTGTTCAACATAATGATGACTGCTAGATAATTAGTTATTATTGGTACTGCTTTTTAATTTTAGAAAGCGCAAATCTGCTTATGAATTATAAAAATTAGTAAGACCGCTAAAGTGCAAACGAAATATTTAGGTCCACAATTAGTGGATTTGTGTTTTAAAGGACTGGAGCCTACCACTGACTGCAGTGTGTAGCATACATTGCAGCATCTCATTGGTCAGTCAATGAAAGCCAAGCTGATTGGTTGTAGTGCCATGTGACAGTGACAAAAGTTGAACATTTTTTCAACTTTCATGTGTCAGATCACAAGCACGCCCGTGCACGTCTACAAGCTCGAAACCCCACATGAACGAGTTTCGTTGGTCTCTTGGCTGGGCCTCATCGCCCAGGCTCCACAGGAAGTGAATGGAGAGGGAGCGACATCACTTCCTGTGTGTCGAGTCCATTAGTGTGAAACAGTAAACCTAAAAACTGCCTGCTAACAAAACCAACAGAAAGAAGATAAACACTTTGAACTGAAGAGCTGAAAAGAAGAAACTAGAGAAATGCCAACAGACAGAATAAATAAAGCAACAAAAACACCCCAAAACTTTTAAATTTTAAATTAAAAATTTTAGCTTTGGTCGTCTTTTTCCTAACTGAGTATGTATGGACTGAAGACGCAGCGGGCCGTAAATTATTGTAATTCCACCCTCTGCCCCTCCACAGCTCATATAAGTATATAAACAATAATAATGATGGCTGGATATTGTTTTTTTCCTTTTATTTCAGTGAAGGATTTGTGTTGTTGGGTGAAGAACCCACAAAGGAAAAATTTTTTTTTTTGCTCATGGTGGTGATAGAAAAAAGTCGTGAACATTAGCTGCATACTCACGTTCATTGGCTCAAACCAGCTGCTCTTCTAACTCTTTTCACAACAGGCTTTAGACAAAATAATCTTTTTAAACAAAATACGATGCAGCAGGAAGAGCTGTTCTGGTCCTGCTCCACAGTGGAGCAGGACCAGAACAGCTCTTCCTGCTCCACAGTGCTGTGTTGCTCCTCGTGAACAAACACTGTTGGTATAAAAACTGGACAACCAGTCGTTCACATAAACCTCAGCAGAGAGGAGCAGAGATGTTACTTTGGTTTGTTTTTACTAAGATGAGTGAATCTAAAGAGTCCTGTTCAAAAGAAGCAACAGTCAGTGTGTACACTCTACTGTGCTGCTCACTTTTCACACACACATGCTGGATAACTGAACACACACACACACACACACACACACACACACACACACACACACACACACACAC